GGTTACCCACCTCGCAACTTTACGAGCTGAAGCCGCACTCCTCCCGCTGCTTCTTCGGCTCCTTCAGGAAGACTGTAGTGCCCTGGCTATGGCTGGACGCCACCGCCTTCGACTGCTGCTGCTGCACAGCAGACGTGGAGGCAACGGGCAACGCACGGCGGGCGCGAAGGGCACAAAGCTGGACTACCGGGGTTCATCCACGCAGCGAGGGGTAGCACTCGGGATTCGAAACTTCAAAAAACAAACCAACTTCAGCTCCCCCCCCTTTTTTTTTCCCGGGGCCCCGCGCGGCCTCAAATTGTTGCTGTTTATTTGTTTTTGTTTCTTGACGCGACATCCCACTCGAGCCTACAACACCCCTCCCCAACTTTTTTTTTTTTTGCCGACCCCTTATTTTCGGGGTGCGCCGCACCCCGAGCGCGCGCGTCGTGCGCGGTGCGGCGCACGTGCGGGATGCCACGCACCTCGATGCGCCGCAAGTATGGTCCTTTTCCTTTTGTCACTCTTTCTTTCCGCTTTCCCCTTTCCTCTCTCCTCCTCCCCTTCTCTACTGCTGTATGTGCAAGATGATGTTCTATAGAGTCTATACCTAACTCCGCAAAAGAAGCATGACTGTGCCAGACTGTTTCATCAGTTTTTCACCAACTTATCAGGAGGCTGAACCCCTGTGTTGTTTGTGTGTGCGTGGGTCCAGATCAGGACTGTGTATCACAAGTACCTGCATCCCAAGGAAGTCCTCATCAGTGACGGGGTCCTCAACAGAGAGATCAATCATGTGAGTGGTTAGAACACCAGCACATCCAAGCGCCTTATGCTAAACCAACTGAATGAATGGTTCTGTGGTCTGGTATGCTTAGTGACCTTCAAGAGAATCCCTTCTCAAACAGTGCACAAAGCAAAAGAGCTTCAGATTGCCACTTGACATGCACAAAACACAGTGCTGGGCTATTGGTCCGTACACAGGGGGGGGGAAAGAAGCAATCAAACGGAGGGTATTTTTCAATCACCCCTCCAGTGAGGATTTCAGCTTCCTGTATTCGGGGCCCCTGTTTCTCCCCAGAAGAAAAGAGACAACAGAAATGAAAAAATAAAATGCAGGTGCTTCTGGTACTCGCCAGCAATCATCAACAAACTCTTCACAGTGGTCTGACCACGTCCTTTTACAGATCTTGGTATTCAAGTCAAGACGACAGTCCCAGCGCACACTGAGACTGAGAGGAACTTTACAGGCTACCAGCAAGCCAATCCTCCCTCAAGGAGCACTCAATGCTGGTCAGGGTCCTCCGGCCTAGACAGAAGGAAGGGTGGAGTGGGTCATACTAGAACTTGCCAGTAAAGTGGTAACCAGAATAGCGCTCCCTAGAGTGGACAAGGAGCCAGGACCATAAGGACCTGAGTCAAGTCCAAAAAAAAAGAAAAAAAAAGAGTGGAAAACCTAGGTAACTAGGAAATGCAGCAATAGGCCATATCTGCAGGGGGACGGTGTGGTCCATGTAACTGGCGCTGTGGAAAAAGGCACAGCTGAGATGTCACCTGCTGGAAACTGCAGACGCAGTTTCTAATCAGCTGCTGTTCGACAACAGGTTTCAATGTGATATGACTGGTGAACTCTTCCCGTGGCACGGCCCGCGAGGAGCGTTCTGGTGGAACTGGGCAGAGCAAGGAATTTACAAACTGGGGACTATATGGGACAATTTAGCGGACCTCTGGTTGGCCTGTGAGACCAGCCCCTTGGGCTGTTCTCACAGGCCTGTGTTGTATTCGGGGTAGTCCAGTCCAGGCCGGTACCTCTGTCGGTACCAGCCAGTCCAGTTCAGTCCAATCCAGTCAGTCCGCTGGGTTATACCCCAGCCAGAGTCTGTACTTTGGATCATTCTACATTCGCACAGTTTGGAGTACGTGAGTTGGAATCTTGTGTGGGAGCTGCGCTGTGTCATCTTGCTCCACCCAAATCCTCCATCTCCATCTCTATTCCAGGCGGAGCACCACACCTGGTGGGTCCGCCACATTGGTATCAGAGCGGGATTGATCCTTGATCCCGCCCACCCACCCTGGTGATCCCGCTGTCCTGTACCGGACGGTGCTGTACTTTCCCCTTCGAGAAAGTACTATAGAAGACCCGCCTGCCATCATTACGGGCGCTATGGAGCCGCAACAGGCGAAAAGAAAGCAGCATCTCGTAGGTGCAAAGACGGCCGGCTGCCATTATTGCGGCCGACAGTAGCAGCTGCAGGCCGTTTTGTTTGTCTGCGTGTGCAAAAGGGCCGCAGCAGTTTTTGATTCCTGATCCGACAGTCGCACTGGCGGCACCGTCGTTTTTCGGCATGCATTTCGCGGTGGACGGGGTTTGAACCCGGGCAGGTGGCGGGCGAAAAGAGTATGGGGCGGTGTGCTAACCACTGTGCCAAGTGGCGCTCGTGGCTGGAACGGGCGGAAGAAAGTTTTTGGCCCCCCGGCCCCCCCAAAACCCCCCACATTTCAACGGCCTGAAGGCCAGGTTTCGGCGGGGGTAGGATCAGTTGTGGGAGCGTTTGGTGGGCTTCTGATGATTGAAGGACCCCCCCCCCCAACGTTTCGACGGAGCGGAAGGCCAGGTTTTGGTGGGGGCGTCTGGCGGGCTTCCGATGATTAAAGGAAGCGGGTGAACGATTTGCAGCCCGCCCCCCCCCCCAACCCACGTTTCGACGTGGCTGGAGGTCGGGTTGAGTCGGTTAGGATCAGTTTGTGGTCTCGATGATTCTGGCATAGGGGCGGTGATTACTACATGCTGGCCAGGTGGCCAGTCCTCTTCACAACTTGAAGACCCCCTGATCAGGGGGCTGCTCTACACTGGTGAGGGTCTGCTCACACAGCACACCCTGGATTTGCAGTACTGCTGCTAGGGGCTGATCAAGATCTCAGCCACCTCCGTCCTCCAGCTGGCTTGCTGCAGCGAAGGCCAAGACCCTCCTGGCCTTGGTATACCTTGTGCCCTTTGAGACACCAAAGGCCAAGTATCACCTCCCTCTTCGCTCTCTCCACTAATTCACTTTCTCTACCTCTTCTCTCTCCTCTTACTCACCCCCTCCAATTCTTCCTTTTCTACCTCACTCACTTCCCTCTAATCACTCTCACTACTCATACCCCTCTCCCCACCTTTCTCAACTTTCTCCTTCTCTCCTTCTCATTTCACTCCTCAACCCCTTCTTTTCCCCCCACCTTCCACTGCCTCTTTTCCCTCCTCTTTCTACATTCCCCACCCCTCCTCTTCTTCCACCACTCTTCCTCTCCCAACTTCGGTCCCCTCATACTTTATCACTTTCCTTTCTTCCCTTTCTTCCCTTTCTCTACCCTACTTCTCTACTTCTCTTTTCTCTCTCCATCTCTTTTTGTCCTTCCCTCTTCATCTTCTCCTCTCCCACCACCCACTATTTTACTCTATTTTATTCATTTATTTTCTTTTCTTTCCTCCTCTTTTCTCTTTGCTTCTTGATCTCTCTCCACCATCCCCGTTCCTTTTTTCCCCCTTGCTCTTCGTTGGTGTAGTTAGTTGATTTCTTGCTTTCTTTCATATTTTATCTCCTTCCTTGCTTATCTTGGTGTACATAGTACTGTTCTTCTCTCTTTTTCTCGGCGATGTACTCTTGCTCCTCTACGAAGGCGAAGTGCTGCCGAAAATTTTTGATCCGTCCGTAGATATTTTTCCACTCTTTTACTTAGTTTTTTTGGTTCTTATCTGGTTCTTATTTTTCTACGGCACATTTCTCCTCCTCGACGGAGGCGTTGTTTACTTATTTCTTTAATTATTTTATTTATTTATTTATTTATTTTTATTTTTCTCTCGAAATTTCACTGTTTATTTTTTTTTTCCTTCCCCCTCCCTCCCATGGTTGTTATTTTATTTTCTTGATTAGCTCACTGATACCCTACCCTAACCACCCAAACTCCGGTTAGGGTTTTCTCAGGGTTTCTTAGGGTTTTTCTAGGGGTTAGGGTTCTCCTAACCCCCCTACTTCCCCTTTCCATTCGGGCACCCTGGACCCAAACCACCCCTCCCCCTTTGACGGCACCCGCGCTAGACTCGCTAGCGCCGCTCGCCGCTTTCTACCGCAGACCCCCACCTACGCCCTCCGCTCACGCGGACCTCCTCTAGCCCCCTCCCGTCCGGCCTGTCACCTCCCCATGGTCGACGACATGTCACAGGCCGACGGCGTGTCACAAGCCGCCGACGAGGCGACGACCTCAGCACCGGGCTCCACACCCGTCCCGGCGGACCAGGGCCTTCAACCTTAGGGGGATCTGCACACTCTCCTCACCTCCCTCCTCGCACCCATCCAGACTCAACTGACGACCCTTGCGGCCTTACAAGCGCAACTGGCGACTCTTGCCGCTGGCATGCGGCAACTCCAGGACGCTGCCTGTCCTTCCTTTCCTAACTCTCTCTCTTCTCCTGGCTCCCAGTCTGGGTCCCCAGTCCTCCGACGTGCTGGCCACGGTGGAGCTTCCTCCTCCGCTTCCCCCGACCCGACCATCTTGGTGATCGTCCACGCTCCCAGCACGACAGCCGTCACGGGCCAGGCCTTCCCTCACTCTACGGGCGCACCCGCCCTGATTTCGGTCACTACGGCCACGGGACCACAACCCTCTGCCGCGGTCTCAACTTTTCAAGGTGCCCCGCTTCTCCCTCCCCTTCGCACGACCACAGCGCCACCTGGCTCGCCCCCTTATGGGATGCCCTGCGTCGCTCGTGCTTCTACTTCCCCTCCTCCTCCCCCTCCTACTCCTCGCTCGATCTACGTCTGACGTCTCCAGGCCGAGCTTGCCCAAACCCGGGCCGACCTCGCCCTCTTACGCCTTCTATCACCCCTACCCTTACAGGTGGCCGCGCCCTCGGGCGCACCCCCTTCTTCCTCTACTCTTCCATCCATGCAGGCTCGCTTCTGTCGCCCTGCACCCCCTCCACCCCCATCCTACCTCCTTCCTACTCCATCAGTTGCTGCGACCTCTTCTACCGCAGCTCCCGCGCAGCCTGCCATTGTTTTCCCCGCCGCTCCACCATGCGGCCCCGGGCGTACAGTCAGTTGCAACCCCTTTTCCAGGACCTCCGCCGACTTACTCGGCCGTAGCGCAGACCTTTGCTCCTCGATCTCCTCGCCGCCAAAATGGTGGCGCACCACTCGTTCGCTTGACGGACATTGCCTTGTATGATGGTACAGGGATATATGTGTCTCAGTGGCTGCAGTCCGCCACCTGCACGCTCCATCTCATGGACGTCCCACCCGACAAGTGGGTGGCTCACCTCTCCACGCACCTGCGTGGCGGTCCTTTCGACCCCTGGGAGGATTTCTACACTCACACCCTTCGTGAGGGTCGGAACCTGACCTTCATGGATTTCCAGGTGTTCCTCGAGGATCACTTTGGAGCCCGACACGACGTGACTGACACTTTCGAGCATGTCGTCAGTTTACATTGGTCCGGCTCTGGGGGCGCTGCTGGCCTGGACCGCCACATCGAGGTCTTTCAGGACACCTGCCTCATTTGCGATGTGGTGTTCCTCCTCGAGGCTGCCGACATCAATCGCTTCTTGGCCAACCTTCCCCTTGAGTACCGCTCCGAGTTATGGTGGTATGACTTCACATCGGCCCCACCGGCTTACGAGGCCGTCAGGGCCCATTAGCACACGTGGGCCCGTCTTCACCCCACTTCCTCCTCCCAGCCTCAACATACTGGTTACGCTCCCTCCTTCTCTCACGACACTTCCCAGTGCCGTTCCCCTTTCCACGGTCATCCATGCTGTTCCGCGCAGCAGGGCCGCCACTTCTCGCGTCCCTTCAACGCGCTCAAGTATGGTGAGCAAGACACTGTTGCCCCGCTGTCGCCTGAGGGTGACCATAGCGACGACCTCGACCTCTGCGAGACCGTCCGCTACCACCTGGAGGACTCTACCCTCCCTATAGCCGAGCGCCTCCAACTCGCCCTCTCCACCCTCTCTCGGGCACGCGACCGCTCTGATCACGTTGGCACGTCGCCCCCCGACGTCCCTCAGCAGAACCTCCCTCAGGGCTTTGTCCCTCCTCGCGGTGTCCTTTCCGTTGAGGAGCGCGCGACCATTTTAGGCCGGCGTGGGTGTTTGCGCTGCCGCCATGACGGTCATACCTCCTCGCGGTGCCCTTGCACCGCCGCCCTCGACCGCCACTACGCTGAGCTTTCCCGCCAGCGTCGTGCTCCGTCCCCCACCGACACCTCGCATTCTCGCGGCGCCTTCTAGCCACGGTGCAGTGTACACCTGCGCCCTCCTCAGTAGTCGGTTTCCCGACATCTCCGTCGCGGTTTGCCCCTCTCGATACTGGAGTTGAAGTATCGCAGGACCCAATAGAGTGGACTCAACCCTCTTTCGCAGTACCGTCTGCGCCTCTGCAGACCATCGTCTCCCCTCCTACCTCTCCGCGACTACAGAGGCGTCGAGCCATTCCCTCAGCCTGTTGCAGCGAGTAGCTTGCGACTCGTGAGCACGTTGTGTCCTCCCTTCTGAACTTGAGCATGCTCCAGGCTCGCTAGGAGCGACTCACCCTCCATGTCGCTGCACTATGTCGCCTTCTCGCCATCCCCTTTGACCCTGATTGCACCCTCCCGATCATTCCAGTACAACTCGGGACCTCCATGAGGGTGTACTTAGCGTTGTGGGATTCCGGTTCTCAAGGCGACTTCATTCACCCACGTGTGGTGAAGGAAGCACGCTTACTCATGACAGGGTCTCTGAATCTCATCTCCGTCACCCTAGGAGATGACAAGACCCAACGCTTCTTCGATCAGACGGTCACCGACCTCCCTTTCTTCCTCACTCTGGAGCCAATTGATCGTTCCCCGGCGTCTCGTCGCCACCGCGCCTCTGCACATTTCGATGAGATGGAAACGGTGTACGACCTTATTCTCGGTACTCCGTGGTCTCGTCGTTTTCGCAGCACTGAGGCCGATTGGGCGACCAACACTCTCGTTCTCAAAACGAAGTGTGGACAAACGTATCGCATACCTTTCATAGGTACCACCGCGACACCACACCCCGACCCTCCTCCCCCGGAGCCTTCCGTGCCCACACCATCTCCTACTCTCACCGTCACCTCGGCTCGGCAGTTCGCTCACTTCACCCGACAGGACGACGTCACCTTCTTTACAGTGAATGTTATGGATCTCTTGCACTATGATCCACCGTGTCCCGATGCCGAGCTCATCTCTCTGGAGCCAGATCCTCCTTCTATCTCCATGGCTCTCATCTCTTTCCCCCCTCCACCCTTCGTCAAGTCCACCCCGTTGCCGCGCGCCGACGCTGACGCTAAAAAACTCGCACGCTATACGACCGACCTGGAGCCTGCAGTTTGTGACGTCATTCGAGAGTACCACGACGTTTTCTCATCGTCGTTCTCATACGTCGGCATCCCACCAATGCGCGACGTCAAGCATTCCATCCAGCTTGTGCCTGACTATCGTGTTCACCACCAGGCACCCTACAGACTCTCGATTCCCGAGGCCACTGAACTCAAGCATCAGCTTGAGGAGCTCCTGAGACTGGGTTTCATCAAACCCAGCAATTCCTCGTGGGGTGCACCCGTCCTCTTTGCTCGCAAAGCGGATGAAACTCTCCGTCTCTGCATCGATTATTGCGGTCTCAACCACTACACGGTGCAGAACAACTACCCCATGCCTCGTTCCGACGAGCTGTTCGACCGCCTAGCAGGCAACCATTTCTTTGTGAAGATTGATCTTCGTAGCGGTTACCATCAGATCCGCGTCGCTGCAGCGGACCAACCGAAGACAGTGTTCCGATCGCGCTTCGGCCACGGTGATGCCATTTGGCCTCACCAACGCACCTGCTACCTTCCAAACGACGATGAACGACATGTTCAGGGACATCCTGGAGCAGTACGTTCTCGTCTACCTTGACGATATCCTGGTCTACAGTTGTACCCTTGAGGAGCATCTCAGACACCTTTGCGGCGTCTTTGACCGCTTGCAGAAAAATGGCTTTTACGCCAGGCTGAGCAAGTGCCGCTTTGCCCAGCACAAAGTGGATTTCTTAGGATACTACGTGTCTGACCAGGGTCTCCACATGGACAACGCGAAGATCACTGCTATTCCGAAGTAGCCCGTCCCCACATCTGCCAAGCAGCTTCGCAGTTTCCTAGGCCTTTTTAGTTACTATAGCAATTTCATCCAGGGATATGCTAGGTATTCCTACATCCTTACCTCTACCCTCCGTCGAAAGAACCAGTTATGGGTTTGGACACCCCTCCACGAGGATGCCTTCTGCGCCCTCAAGAAGGCGGTAACATGTGCACCGGTTCTCCACCTACCCGATTTTGATCACCCTTTTATCCTTACCACCGATGCGTCTCACTTTGCTGTAGGAGCAGTGTTTTCTCACATTTTCCCCTCCTCTCCTAATTCCTCTCATCCTCGCATCCCTCACTTCTCACCTCCTACCCCTACCACTGCTTTCTGCCTGACTCCTACTCGTCCAGCTATTGACAAGCCTTCTATTGACTATTCTCCTACCATCGCCGAGGACGGCACTGTCGAGTCTCGCTCAGGTGATTGTCCGATAGCCTTCTACTCTCGTCATCTCCTGCCCGCCGAGACAAACTACACTGCTGATGAGCGTGAGGTTCTCACAGTAGTTTATGCCACTCGACACTGACGCCACTACCTGCACGGGGCACCATTCACAGTGCGCATGGACAACTCTGTTGTCCAGGTTTTTCTTACAAAGTCGAAGCTCACTCCTCGACAGGCTCGTTGGTGGCACGACCTATCCGAGTTTAGTTTCACCCTTGAGCACATCAAGGGTGAGACCAATTGGGTCGCAGAAGCCTTATCCCGGCGCCCTGACCATAATCCGGAGCAGATCCAGCTCACTGCCATCTTGGTCACCACCGTCCACCACTCGGTGACCGACGAGTTTCGCACTCAGTACTGCCACTGCCCCGACTATTGCAACATCCGTGCGACCCTTCGGAGTGGCAAGACCGTCCCGAACTACTCTCTCGGGGACAACGGTCTTGTGTACTGGCACGGTTCACAGGGCACCAGAGAATCCCGCATTTGCGTTCCCTCCACTGGACAACTACGTGTTCGGGCAGTCGCAGAGTTCCATGACCAGGCAGCCACCGGTCATATGGGCTTTCACAAGACGTTCGTTCGTGTGAGCCGCCTGCACGTTTGGCCGAAGCGTAAGGACTTTGTGAAGGACAACGTTGCAGAGTGTCCCACTTGTCAGCAAGTCAATAATACGAACTACTTGCCTTATGGTTTGCTCCAGCCTCTTCCTATTCCTGAGGGTCCTTGGCAGTCCATCTCGATGGACTTTATTGTTCCTTGCCGCTATGCCATCAGTGCACGAGAGGTCACGAACATCGTGTTTGACCGAGTCGTGCGTGACCACGACTTACCTCTAAGCATCATATTTGACCGTGACCCTCACTTTACCAGCCGATTCTGGCGACGGCTCCACGAGGTGTACGGCACCCAGCTCCGCTTCTCCTCGTCTTACCATCCCCAAACTGATGGTCAGACCGAGGTCAAGAACAAGACTCTCGGAGATATTCTCCGAAAGATTGTCCGTGACGACCAGCAGTTGGATCTCTATCTTGCCCACGTGGAGATAGCCTACAACCACACCGTCTCGCCGGCTACAGGGATGTCGCCTTACTATTGCGACCACGACTATCACCCTCGTGTTCCCGCGGACTTCCTTCGACCGTCAGAGTTGCATTCCGACAGGAGTTGTCCCGCGCTAGATGATTGGGTTGGACACATGATGTCGATCATGAAGACTGCGCATGAGCACATGACCGCTTTCCAAACTTGCATGGCCGCACGTGCGAACCAATCGAGGATGGATCATCCATTCAAAGTCGGCGATGATGTGCTTGTCGATGTCCGCCACTTACAATTCGAAGCGGCTTCACAAGTTCCGACGTCACTTCTTTGGCCCATGCCACATTCTCCAGGCCGTCGGTTCTGATACGACATCTAGCCCGGTCAACTTCTGTGTGAAGTTGTACCTACGCCAGGGTCTTGTGCACGATGTCTACCACGTCTCGTTACAGCGTCCCTACCACAGACCGTCTGAGCGTTTCGTTGGACGACCATACGAGCGCCCTCCACCCATCATGGTGGACGGCCACGAGGAGTTCCTCGTTTCAGACATCATTGGTCGTCGAGTCACTGACGACAACCGTCCTCACGTCCTATATCTCGTACGTTGGAAGGGTTACCCTAATGAGGAGGCTACTTGGGAGCCCCTCGAGCACTTGCAGCACGCTCGCATGTTGGTGTGTGCCTATGACCGTGCTCGCCGTGCTGGGTTGATTGCTCCTCCTTAGCCCATTGACCGTCTTCCTTCTCCCTCGGCCAAGGAGACCGCTGAAGTCGAACCTGCTCCACCTGAGGCAGACCTTCAGCAGCAGCCGAATGCTTCTTAGAGTCCACAATGCACTCGTCGTCATCCTGCTCGATACAACGATTGACTCTAACTTCTCTTCCCACGTCTTTGACTTCTCAGTACTTCATCCACTCCAGTTTTGCTACTTCAGCTCGTCGACATTGCGGCTCTTCCTCGACGACATTCCAGACTTCTCTTCACGGACGTTATTGGCAGCTCCACCGACTTCGTCACGATCAGCTCTGCCTACTTCAGACGTCGTCACTCTCTTACCACTTTACCCCTGTACAGTACCCTGGTTGTGTCGCCTGATTGTCTCCCTTAGCCGGGGTCTTCGGAGTTGGGCTCTCCCTTGGTATACGCGTAGGCATCGAGACCGTAGCGTTGCCCTGACTTCCCAACTTACGGATCTAGCTCCGACTTCCCCCACCTTAGGAGTCATTTGCATCCCTTACCCATCACTTTTTCGACCCTCTGTTGGCCCTCGCGCCCTAGTTAGGCAGCCTTGCATGCTTCATCTAGGTGCACCCAGTATACCAGGCTCCCTTATACCCTTGCATAGTCGACCCTACATAGCGGTCACCCCTTCAGTCGAGCATTACCCGCCCTGATGCTCTATCTGGTAGGGTCATTGGTTTTGTTTGCTCCCAGTTCCCTACCCTCATTGAGTCTGATGACATGTGTCTCCCTGTCTTCATGTGTGGATGCCCTTAGGAGTTTTCGACCCCTAGGCTGCATTTGCCACCCTCAGAGAGCATCCCACCCTGTGGTTTGCAACACACCCTTCCTACGCCATATAGTTGTCTCATTATTGTTTTGTTGCTCTCAGACGGAGGCCTTTGCCTCTGATATTTCTTGGATTTAGTTGTTTTTGCTTTTGTTGTTCTTAGGACTTGTACACTAGTGAACTGTTTCCAGACTGAGGCTACTGCCTCCAACCTTCTAGGATTTAGTTGTCATTACTTTCTGCTTTCCTATGACCTGTATACTAGTTAGTTGCTTCTGCTTTCACTTAGGCTGTTAGATGTGACATTGCTGCTTTTGTGACATTTTTTATCCTAAGTTGCATCGCATGGACTCAGCATGGAGCTTGCTCCACATCCTAGACTACTCGGGTTTTCTTTTTCTTTGGTAGAGTTCCGCTTCTTGGCGGAAGCGTGCTTGTATCTAGGCGATCCATCACAGGTCGAGGANACCACCAACACATGTATCCAGTCCCTATCTCCTTACTTGGCGCTCGACGCACAGCCTACTCCCTACACAGCTATTACTAGCCTACTAATTGACAATGCAACTGTTCACGTCAGCAACACCCGAAGGACCAGGACCTGTCTCTTATACACATCTAGATGTGTATAAGAGACAGGTGTACTAGTTAGTTGCTTCTGCTTTCACTTTGGTTGTTAATTGTGACATTGCTGTGTTTTGTGACATTTTCTATCCTAGGTTGCATCGCATGGACTCAGCATGGAGCTTGCTCTGCATCCTAGACTACTCGGGTTTTCTTTTTCTTTGGTAGAGTTCCGCTTCTTGGCGGAAGCGTGCTTGTATCTAGGCGATCCATCACAGGTCGAGGATCGTGTAGCAGACCTCTGGTTAGCCTGTGAGACCAGCCCCTTAGCTTGTTCTCACAAGCCTGCGTTGTATTCGGGGTAATCCAGTCCAGGCCGATACCTCTGTCGGTACCAGCCAGTCCACTCCAGTCCAGTCAGTCCGCTGGGGTATACCTCAGCCAGAGTCTGTAATTTGGATCATTCTACATTCGCACAGTTTGGAGTATGTGCGTTGGAGTCTTGCGTGGGAGCTGCACTGTGTCATCTTGGTCCACCCTAATCCTCCATCCCCATCTCTATCCCAGGCGAAGCACCACACCTGGTGGGTCCGCCACTGACAAAGACCGGAAGGATTGACTCCTGATAACGACTTGGTGGAGTCACCGCATGGACAAATGAGACAAAGGCAAAAATGTCAGAAAACTGCGAGAGGTCATGCCCCTCCAGTGGATTACGATATTGAGAAAAGACAAGTGAACCCGCCGCGGCCCAGCGCCAGCCCCACCCCAGGCACGACCATTATCTGGCCCGAGCGACATTGAGGGTGTTTTTTTTTTTTGGGTGTTTGTTTTAGAACGTGAGGGACGCACAACATTTGGGGGGCCAAGGGATCAACTCGATTATTTTCCCCCTTCCTCATTGTTTCTCGGTTTCTCGTTCTCTTCGTCGTCCTCTTCCTCATCTCAAT